AACATTAAGAGAAGACTTTGGTGTTTTTCAGAAGAGAAAAACAATGTGAATACAAAGAACAGAATTGTTAAAGGCCACCACTTCATCAAATGTGTCTGCTCCAAGAACATCATTCTTAGAGACTTAAGCTAAAGCTAAGAAGTCCTTCACTTTTGGTGAAGAGCTATCTACATACTGCTAAGGACATTTGTGGTGAACTTTTAGGATAGATTGCAGTTCAAAAGCATATGTTCCTCTTTTGGCTACCACCATTAACAACATGAATTCATGAAAAAGTGGAGAATATTGAATCTCAATATTTAGGGGACCAATGAGTCACTGTGGTATGCAATCCAGGATGGCAAGTTTAGCAATGTTGACAAGGCAACAATTCTTGTTTTTGTGTGCTACATTTTTAGGAAGATATACATGAAGATAGGTTACGTGTACTTTTGTTGTACTAACACCCCAGCCTCAGAATTATTCAATGATTACAAATCACAAAAATAGAACTGGTCATTTTGTGATACTATATACATGAGTGGAACAACTGCCATCACTGGACAGCTTTTTAATTTCACTACTTGGGTCAAAGAAGTCACTTCTGCACGTGAGTCTATGTCGATACAAAAATGCTGGCTAGCTGAAAAATGTCACCTAAACAAAATTTTGCAGGATGCGATTAAAATTATCAACCACTTTAAAGGGCACGCCCTTATGTCTGTTCATGCAGCTCTTTGAGATGGATGCAGGGCACACACATACCTTATACACAGAAGTGAGGTAGCTTTCTAAAGGCAGATCACTGGCCAGTTTTTCACTTATAAGAGCCACTCCAGAGATTATCCTTTAAAAAAAAAAAAAAAAAAGTCACTACTGGCAGCACAGTTTAGTGACACAGGTCATAAAACTTGCTTACTCATGTGACATATTCAACCTGCTCAGTGAACTTACTCTGTCATTTCAGGGGAGAATGACAACTATATTTAAGCTGGCAGATAAAGCAGCTGCTTTCAAAGCCAAACTGGAATTATGGGGAAGCTGTGAACACTGAGATTTCTGACATGTTTCAAACATTAGCAGAGATTTTGAAAGGGATTGAGCCAGGGCCTTCTCTCTTCCACCTGATGCGTGATCACCTATCTCAGCATTCAAAAGTTTGAGCATTACTTTCCAACCACAAAAGACTCCAAACTGGAAAGGGATGGACCTGGGACCCCTATGTGAATAGTCAGATAAAATTGTACTAGATGAGGATCAACTACTTAAAATCACAAGTAATGGTGACCATAAAGGTATGTTTGAAGTAACTTTAAGTCTCTAAACATTCCCGGTTGAAGTCAAGGCGTACTATCCTGAGACTGCCACAAGAGCACTGAAAAGCCTGTTTTCACCATCCCATCTGCAGTGAGAGCAACCAAAGCAAGATTACAGAATAGACTGGATGTAAACAACAGACTTTGGGTGTTACTGTCTCCCATCGTCTCCAGACCAGTTGGAAGAAAACAAGTGCAGGGCTCCCACTCATTCTGCACTGTGGTTAGTTGTGTAATTACTCCATTATATATATATGTGTGTAACAATAAAGTATAGAATAAATGTAATGTGTCTGAATCATCTTGTAACCACTTCCTACCCCCAACTCCTCAGTCCATGGAAAAATTGCTCCCTGCCAAACTGGTTCCCAATGCGAAAAACCTTGGGGATGGATGCTTATGTAGTCTGTGTTGTACATGAAAAAACTGTTCATACTACTCTTGACATTTCAGATTTCCTTGGCTCAAATTTCGATTATTTATATAAAACTGCAAGATTGACTTGGGATCATAAACATCTTTGGGAGTCCGCTTTTAAATTACCATGATTGTATGTTAACTATCACATTTTTGTATTTCAAAAAAATTATACAGGAAATATAACTATTAGATTTGGACTCTGGCCATTAGGTAATTTAAGCTGGCTCTTTCTTTTGCAAATTCTTAGGAGCATAACATAAACCAGGAATGGTATTTCTCATCACAGTCCCAGCTGGTAATTCACATTGTCCCATAATTTCACAGCTGCCAATCAGCCCCACCCACTCACGTTTTTTGGGCTAATGATGCTTTCCTTAATTAGCACAGGACTTAAACTTTCTTCCAGACTTTGTTGCTTTGTTACTTGGGCTACCTAACTACAGGATGGCCTTATTGGGAAAGAAAGCTTATTGAGCAAGGTTGCTGTTTGCTGAACTTGCTTTATTGACTTTGTTTCTCTGACTTATGTGTAGGGTTTATACCTGTGGTATAATTTTCATTTCTATAGTTCTTATACCTTATTCAACTTGGGAATGACCACTAGGAAAAGGCACAAGGAGCTACCCTGTCTAAACCTGAGAACGTCTGCAGGATGTGATTTAAGAAGTAGAAAAGGATTCCTTATAAGTGAACAGTAGGTCAAACTTAGGTTCGTTTTTGTTTGCCTTAAATTGCCAAAACCTATCATTTCCTAGTGATTGAGCCACATATGATTGCTTTGCTCAGGGAGTCTATGCCCAAATCCATGTATATTAGAAAGGAAGGCATATTTGAAGAAATTTGTGATCCTAGCATTATCTGGTTACCACTTAAGTTTTAGATAGATAAATGTTCTTGAAAAGATACAAGATTCTCTGAAAAGTTGGAACACAGAAAATGAAAATAAGGATTCCATGAGAGTAGCATTTTATTTTTCAAATAACTGACACATTAAGCAACAACAATGTACACAGTAGTCTTCAGGGGAGACATGAAAGCAGCACAAGATCTGCTTCAAAGGTTTTGGGAAATAATCTGCATGGTGCCATAGATTTAAGGAACACATTGACAGTGCCCTTTGTTACATATGAAGTGCTGAAAATAATTCAGAAGTCTCTCACACAGGAAACAGGAGCAGAGCTATAGAGTTAAGAACTTCAAGTCTATCATGAGCACAGGCATAGTGTTTGGTGAAGACAAGAAGGAAACTAGCTCAAAGATTCACTTTGAGCAATTGAGGACAGGAGCTGAGACTTTATCGCATGAACACTTGGTGGACTTTACAGATGTCTACATAAATATCAAGATAAAATGGTTGTCTTGAGAACTGTGTTGACTGCAGGTTCGAGGTGGGAAACACTAACCGTGTGGAGGGAGGAAAGACTGGTTAAGGCAACAGCAGAAAACTAACTTTTCCTGGGATGGTAACTAGGAACGAAGGGAAAACAAAAAGGAAAATTTATTTTTATTTAAATGCTTCGACATGGAACATTACTGAAATGAAAAAGCAAATAAAACCTTGATGTTTCTAACCTGAATGGCTCAGCCTGAGGTGGGAGAGGTGATCGTGTATCAGCTAGGTGACCTGGTAAAGGGAATAGCCCCAAACTTCAATTAGCACAATCATGGAATCATAGGATTTTAACTCTAGAAAAGACCTCAGTCCTTTTATTTTAAAGGAGCAAGTAAAGCAAAGGAAGGGTGTGTGACTCAATCAGGATAGTGAGCAGTGAGTGAGTAGGGAAACAAGGTAGAAAAACCCAAGTCTTCCAATATGCCACCTTCTTCACTGTCTAGCTCTGGACAATGACTCTCCAACTTCACCAAATTAGACTGAAAACAAATTAATAACGATTAAAAAACTCTCAGCTCTTTTTCCCTCCCTAATTTAGGGAACTCAGCTCAGCTCTTTTTCCTCTCCTAAGTATCTTCATAATACAAATCTTGAGAGGCATTTCTTTGCAGGATGAAACATTCTGTGTGAGCTCTTTTCCAAGGAATAATAGTTGGGGGTAAAAATAAGGCCATGAAGACTACAAAGCAGCGTTTTCCCATCTCTGACCCCACACACGCTGCCAGATTAGTCACTTTTTCTTTATCGTAAATTCTCTTGAGACAGAAGCGGATCCAAGTCCAGAGGACCGACTCCCACCACCCAGCAGCATTTGGAATCACAGCCCCTTTGGTCCCGCTGTTTGGCCGCAGCAGCGGGGCCGCGGTCACCCACCCCACTTCTACGATCAGTGAGCGCGGTATCTCTTCAGGTCTGTTACACGCAAAGTATCTTTCAAAAGCAGCGACAGGCGCCCTCGCCAGTTAGATTACCTCGCGGGAGGAGGTCTCAGTCTCTACACCGGAAAAACGGGTCACAGTATGGAGCAGGCACTAAAGCACAAGCCTTAGGCACCCCGAGCTGGCCGAGGGGAGGCAATCAGCGAGATGAGGAGAGCTCACCCGGTGCAGCGCCAGTGAGCGGACGGGAGAACAGCGACCCACATCTACGAGAAGACAAGTCGCTCTCCTTGGGCTTATTTCCTCTGAAATGAGGGCTCTAGACTTCTTCCGAGAATGCAAGATTCTAAAATCGAAAAGGACTTGGTACAATAGAGGTAGAGCCACACCGGCAGTGAGGAAATCACCTCATAGAGCGCTCCAGCCCAGGTTTCAGCGCCCTGCGCCCCACAGCGACGGCGCGGGTTCAGAGGGCGGCGTGCGCGCCCCCGTT